GAGCGACTAGAGCTCTAAGGTAAGGCCGCCCCAAGCCGCCGACCCTCCGACGCCGGGCCCCGAAAAACACCAAAAATCCTTCAGGAGGGTGGGGAAAGCTTTTTGGACGGAATCCGGGTCGCTCATCAGCGTCTCCAAGAGCATTCCCCCCCCCCCCGATTTTGAGGGTACCTAAAATCGGAAAAAAGCGCCGTTTGGACACCTTTTTCGGACGATTTTCAACTTTTCGAAAGTCACCAAATGCTGTAAATTACAGCATTTTTGCGTTTTAACGTCTGTTGCGGGAGCCATGCAAAATGCAGAAAATGCTGTAAATACCAGTACTTTTTGGGCCCGAGATGCACAAAACACTGCAAATACCAGTGTTTTTGCAAGCAAAGCAAAAAAACGCTGTAAATTACAGCGTTTCTGGCGTGTTGATTGCCAAAAATCGTGGTATTTACAGGGTTTTTGCACTTTCAAGAAAACGTGGAAGGCACGAAACACTGTAAATAGCGGTGTTTTGGCCACTTTCGGACGCCGAAACGCTGGTATTTACGCAGTTTTTTGCCTGTGACGGCGCCAAACCCCTGTAAATTACAGCATTTTTTGCATTTTTTGAACCGATTTTTTGCCTTGGTGAACGCAAAAAACGCTGGTATTTACGCGTTTTTCAAAAAATCGAAGGTCGTGACGTGAACGAAACCCTGTAAAAAACAGTGTTTTAGCCACTTTCGGGGACTAAAACTGTGGTATTTACGCGGGTTCTTGCCATCTGACAGCGCAAGATGCTGTAAATTACAGCACTCTGTGCGCTGTTTACGCTCAATTTTTGAACCTGCGCTGTTTTCACCTGTTTTTTGCATTCATCCACAAGAAACAATGTTGCAGATTGAAACTGGACGACAGCGTGACCTGAAAGAAAGCTGGATGGAGGAGTCGCAGAGAAGCTTTTTACGCACACAGGGGCTTTTACGCAGAGAAGTCTTTACACAAAGGAGCTTTTTACACACAGAAGGTTTTACACAGAGAAGTCTTTACTCTAAGGAGCTTTTGCACACAAACGTCTAGGAGCCTTTACACACAGAAGCTGTTACACAAAGAAGGCTTTACACAGAGGGCTTTTTACACACAGACGCGTTTGCACACAAAAGCTTTTACACAGAGAAGCCTTCACACAGAGGAGCTTTTACACACAAAAGCATTTACATACAGCAAGCTTTTACACACGCAGGGGCTTTTACACATTTACACAGAGTAGCTTTTTACACACAGAAGGTTTTACACAGAGAAGTCTTTCCTCTGAGGAGCTTTTTCACACAAACGTCTTGGAGCTTTTACACACAAAAGTTGTTACACAAAGAAGTCTTTACACAGAGAGCTTTAACACACAGACGCGTTTACACACAGAAACTTTTACACAGAGAAGCCTTTACACAGAGAGTTTTTATACACGGAAGCTTTTTTACACACAGAGAAATCTTTACACAGACGTGCTTTCATACAGAGAAGCTTTTACACAAAGAAGTCTTTACACAAAGTGGTTTTTACACACAGAAACTTTTACACACAAAAGCTTTTACACAGAGAAGTCTTTGCACAGGGGCGCCTTTATACGAAGTAACAAGTTGAAATCGGCAGCAGTTCTTTAGGAAAAACCCTTCGCAGGAGCTTTCGGGAACTCACTTGCTCCCCAAAAAATCGTCTATTCCAACAAATATGTTCCAAAAAACCTAAGGAATATATTTCTGAAGCAGGTCCTCATTCAGTAACTTTCACGCCCACACTGCGATGAAATGGAGGGCCGAGTGGTGCGGCGGAGCCGACGAGGGGCGTCAGCCCAAAAATAAAGAGCTAGATGGAATGAGATGAGATGAAATGAGATCGACTGAGGTGAAGTGACAAGAGATGCGATGAGGTGCAGTGAGATCAGTTGAAATGAGAAATGCGAGAAGTCGAGAGACTGTTCCTGCGAAGCACAGAATGCTTCGCCGCACCCTATAGGCACAGCCTTTGTGCCGCTCTACAGGCTATAGGCGTTTCAACTTTGAAACTTCCGCCCCCGGCTTGCCAGGGAACTACTTGTACTCTGAGAGATCAACTCGTACTTGAATCGGAAGTTTCTCTGACGAGAAGGAATGACATGGGCTGAAGGCTGTGCTTGGCACGGGTGCCCCCTCCAGTCAATCCACATAGCAAAGGAAGGATATCGCTTTTTCAACAAGCCCCAAAAATGGTCAGGAATGAACTCCCTCTTGTCTTTCAACAAGGTTACACCCGCAACAGACCCCAAAACTTGTGGGGAACACCAACTATCGGGAAAAATTGCCATTTCGGCTTCGGCAGCGTCTAAATAGAGGTAGCATGTCCATCTGTTTCTGGTCAAGTGTCGTTTGGGCCACCAAATTCCGGGACACCTAAATATCTTGCTGGATCTGCCTCATCTTCTTTGGTCGCTTCTTTAGGAGCTTTTGCCCGGCAGGTCCATAAAATTCATAGACAATGCTTGGTCTGGATCCTTCTGCTTCCCGCACTGCCAAACCGTTCAAGACTCCGTTCAAGACCCAAACCGAGGATGCCAAATGGCAATGCCAAAGCACACCAAAACATCCAGAAACCAACGTGGGGCCCACTGCAATGCCACGATGCAAGTTTTGCCTCTTTGGGTGGTGAAAAGGGGGTGGCAGGAACAGCAGGGAACAGCCAGACAGGGAACGGGGATGGAACGAAGTAGAGAATAAAATCGAATGCGACGATTGAAACCCGGCCAACAATTCCTCGGCGCAATCCTGAAAATTGAACTTTCCAAAGACATCACCCCTTTGTCACCTGGGAAGCCAATTTCTTCGTCTCCATCTTTTCTGCCTTTGGGAAGCACTGGCAGTCAGCAAAGCTCAGATCCACTATGGGTAATCTGGATCAAACCTGGTCTACAACTTCCAGGGAAGATGATCCTGCAATTCGAAACTTTGAGCCATCTGTCTGGAAACTTATACCTATACATATTGGATATCATATACGGCTATCAATATCAGGTCAATTATAAAAAGTTTGTAGGAACATCTGCGGTTTGGGGATCTTGACCCTACTTTTTGATACATACAGATGAACTGCACGGCTTCCAGGCCAGCAAACAAAGTTGCCCTGCACGCCGCCTGCACACCCAAAATGTCAAACAATGTACCGACTGCACCTGCATCCCTTCCGAGCCCTGCCCCAGCCTGGTTGATGACCGCTTTTTGTGCCTGGCAGTTGTTGGTCGTTATTCCCTTCAAAAGGGTCCCCTTGCTCGTCTTGTGTTTTGCTTGGCGCTGGAGATGACACAAACTCCATGTCTGACCCAGGTTGCCGACCGCATCACCTCAGTCCATGAAACCCTGAACCCTTCGCCTGCCCTGTGGATATTGGCCTGCACCTGCTTTAGGGACCGCGTGGTGAACAATCATTCCCCTCCAAATTCCGGCGTTGCCATTTCCAACGGAACGCACTGAAAAGGCTATGTCAGGACGGGCCAATCTCATTCAGTATGGTGATGAGCATGACGATTGCGTTGGCGAGATGGCGAACTCAAGATGAACTTGAACTGATGATGATACTGATGAAGAAGAAGATGAAGAAGATGAAGGTGAAGAAGAGGATGAAGATGAAGATGAAGAAGAAGATGAAGATGAAGATGAAAAAGATGAAAGATGAAAAAGATGAAAGATGAAGATGATAAAAGAAGAAAATGATGATAATGATGATGCTGATGAAGAAGAAGAAGCCCATGTCCGTCGTGAGCCCCTGGCGATGCAAAGCAAGGCAAACATGAGCCCCCAGGGTACGTGTCTGTCGTGAAGCCCGTCCCTCCACGCTGCGTAGTTCTGGACAGAGGGTTGGGGCCTCTAATCACCCCGTTTTTCGCACGTGCGCTTTGCGCGTCTTCAACTTCCCACTTAAAGTGCATGTCGTGCGGCAGTCGTGGTCTATATCAAGTCAAAATGTTCCAAAATGGTTGGGCATTGGATGGTGTTTTGCGAACAAATACGTTTCACCTACGCCTTGAAGCAGTTTGGATAGAAAACAGGGTCAAATTTAAGACACCAAATTTTGGCATTTTGCTGCATTTAATTTGCAAACGCTATTTGGATATATTTGGATCCCAAACGGAAAACGCGGATTGCGTAGGAGTTTCGCAACATTTTTTCCGCTGCAATTGGCCAGAGGTTTTGACACGCAACAACGCCTGCCGATTGATGTAGCGCCACTGTTAGGCACGCATGTACAATTCAAGCATGATGCTTTGCACCCACTCCAAGCTTGCCCAAAACATCATCGACATAACATCAGTGGCGTGTTACATGAAACATTAACTAACACTTCCCCCACCCGCTCCATTCACCCCCACCATCACCGTAACATCATCAATGTAACATCATCAACTTAACATCTGTGCTGTGTTGCATGAAGTTAACACTGCCCCACTCCCTACCCACCCACCCCTCAACACCGCTACATCATCACCGCAACATCATCACCATCACATCACCAACGTAACGCCATTGACATGTTACATGGAATGTTAATCGCTTCCCCACACCCACGCCCGCCCCCAGCATCACTGTAACATCATGAACGTAACATCATTGATGTGGCACATGGAACATAAACATTTCTCCGCACCCCCAACCTCCATCATCACCGTAACATCATCAAGGGGTCCAAGTGAAAACGCGCGCTTTACTCGTATGGTTTTTGGGGCGAAAGCATAAAGATGCCTAAAGCCTTTTCTTTCTCCACTGCATGGCTTGAAAATACCTCAGAATGACTTGTGCCATGGCCTCGGCGGAATCTTTGCTCTTTGATTCCTGCAATCACCAATAGAATATGGGTAGCTATCGCAAAAACATCGGGGGTTATTAAATTTGGGAACCCCATGTGTAGGATAGTATCTAGGTTGTGGATGCCATCAAATCCGTTCCAATGCCTTGCCAAAATTGTCATGAGCTCTTTCTAGGAGGCATCGAACTTGACATTGATTTTACGATATTTGGGCATACTATATCTTGCAGTCATAGGTATGAACAACACAAGGAAAGCTGCTGGAATATATAAACATGCCAACCTGGGCAGCGCACGCGATCACCTTGGCAGGAAAGCCGCAAGATTCTTCTCCGTCCAGTCGCGCGGAACAATGACGGATTTTGAAATAACAACCTAATATGCAACATGGTTCCACCCACAAAAAATGAAAAGCCTTCTACATTATAAAGCAACCTCTGAATAAGAATGGGCGCCTTCGGGTGTCAGAGGCCGAGGACCAGCCAGCAACGTTTGCAGGCTATACGGTGAGGTGGAATAGCAATGGGTAGGCGATGGAGGTGATAGACTGGAAGTACATGATGGAAGGGCAAGCGGAGCGCGCTCATGATTGTCTGTGTGTGAATTCGCGTGATGCTGTGAGCAGCACGGATCTCCCCGATTGCCGCAGCTCAAGTAATGTCCTCCATCTTCTTCTTTAGACCTTTCGCCACGTCACCGAGAGCTGCTGCAAGATCGAAAGCCTGCGCAACTCTCCTAAACATCTCTATTGAAAAAACACCAGTCGCAAAACTTGGACACTTAAGGGTTAAGCATATGAAAACAACCCCCGGGAAGATTGTGACCTAGGACATGCAGCGCGGAGCATCGCCATGCAAATACCCCTAGGGCATCCTTAAACATAGGTGCAATACAAATCGAAAGGTTTAGCCCACAAGTTGGAACAACACAGCGCAACAATACTTCCTCAAGTAGCGCCTTGAGCTTCGGCTTAGATTTCTCTGGCTCAGACTTCTCGGACTTGCCGTAATTGAGCAGCTCGTCGATCTGGCGCATGGCGCACTTCAATCTGTGCACGCTGCTGCAGTAGAACCACGCGCAGCGTCAAGCCAATCCATGTAACTAGTCTCATTCTGAGTGTGTGTCTGTGCGTCGAAAACCAGCCAATAGACACATGTGCTGAGAGCAAACACACGATGACATGGCGCCCTTCAACGCTTGCGTTCGAATCTTTGAATCCTTTGGGGCCCAAAAAACTGGCGCAACACTGAGGCATATCCTTGAAAATGTATGACTACAAGCGCAGGCACCCCGCAGCATATTTTGGCACAGCGTTTGCCGGATGCATTACGCCTTTGATTTTGGCCCCTTGAAAGCACTGATGGATTTGGGCGTCCCACAAGTTTTCAAGCCCTTCTCATACATCTTAAACAGCAGGGTGCAACTTCTGGACGTAAAGCTGGCGTACTTTCGCGTTGCTCTTGAGCGCTTTTAAGTCGCAGAAGCACACATCTCTTTTTGTTACCATTGAAGAATTCAAACCGGTCCTCCGTTTGTTGCTTCAAGGTTCTGACTACCAGCACGGACCGTGCGTTCAAAGGGGGAAGCCACCCCTTCAGAAACAATTCCAAACTATTTCCGATGGGTTTCGCTGTTGTAAAACAAATATTTCCAAGGAGCCCAGCTCCCGGAACTAATTACTGCACCCCCCGGCACAAAGTGACTGAGTCCCCCGAATTATTTTCCAATCCTTTGGCCCCCTTCATTCGAAAAGGCCGGAGAAAACCGGGTGGGTGGGTATGCTTAGTCGCTGCATTTTTTGCCCTTCATGATTAGCCTCAGGAAATTACTTCAATGGATCGTATGTGGCAGCAGGTATGGAAAATATATTCATGGCCGGACCCCGGCCAACAATTTTAGTCGGGCTGGCAAAAAGAATATTTGGTAAATTTCTGCCATTGCCAAAACCGATCAAAACCAACTTAAATTTAAGATTTAAGAATCTGTTCGCACGGATGAATCATAAAAGGCTCAAGACAACCAATGGGACACGTTTGCGCTCAAATGTTCTGAGCCGCTGGCTTTCCGAAAAACAATTTTTCATGATCTTAGACTATAGGGATTGCAATGGAAGAAACTCTTGCGGAGAATTGATATGTTTAGCCTCGGGCGTGTCGCATTTTGGTGGCTGAGAGGGGCGGCTCAGGACCCCCAAAATAGTTCTAGTGGAACACCTTTGTGGGCTGGTAGTGTCATTTTATCAAAATTAACTTGGGGTGGTTTAGGCGGTGTCATTTTCAGGCTCATACCACGTAAAATATGCATAGAGATTAAAAATCATTTGCATCTGAGCCGGCTGTTGTTCTTAAACGGAAATATTTTAAGCCACATATTTTGGAATCCAATTAGCAAGCCGTCAAGTTTCAGGGGTTGGGCGGGCATGTTTGCGCCAACAAAAATTTTAGCAATTGCATTTCCTGCTTCGGCTGACAGTTACATATGAACCATATGAGCAAAACATAAATTTCAAACATCTGTTCACTGTGCTGTGCTGTATTAACCCAAAGCAGCCATGAGCATGCCCGTGAAAAATATTCGAATCGCTTCGCGACGAGAACCGCCCGCACCCAGGGAACAGGACAGAGAGGAAAGAAGCGGGCCTACTTGGCCCAACCACAAGCCAACTGGGGTCAAACTTGCTCTGGCCTTAAGGTTGGCCGAACAGGAGGGCATGGTTGGGCGCAAGCTAGCTTAGCATGCGCAACTTGGTCCTCTGTGGGGGCATCTGGCGTCGAAGTTGGGCCTGAGACAAGCCCAATGTGGGCAACATAGCTTGCACGAACCCTCATTAAAGCCAA